TTCAAAGAAAGAGAAGTAGCAGATATATGGCAGATGAACAATCACATGTTGATAGAGTACAATAATGGATTGGAATGTACCCAAATAATTCCACAGAAAACTAAGCAAAGAAGACCGGTTATTCGAGCTATGCGCTGAAATGAAGTAGAAAAACTAGTATATTTCAAAGATATAATTTGGGGAAATTAATAATGTTGTAAGCCCAGCAATTTAATATGTTGGCGAGATTTTTTTTAACACCGAGCATCACTGATATGGGAGAAAAATAGAAGTTCTACAACGCATAGTGGGTAAATGTATTTTGGGTGCAAGTAAACATATAACGAATTAATCAGTACTTGGTGACCTCAGATTTATTACAATAGAAGCCGATTAAGAATTATGAAACTGAAATATTACAAACAATTATTAATTTAATTAAGGTAAATATCGACATATAAATCCAGACAGCAAGGTGCGGGATCGGGTATTACATATAAACTACATGTACACGCATTTAAATAGACAAATGAGAGATTAAAAAATAAACGCATTATACTATAAAAAAAGGTTGTGGAAAATATTGGCGAGTTAACGTAGAAGGAAAATATGATAAACAAATCAAGTATGAAACTCTACATGATATTTAAATACAACTAAAACTATCCTGAAAATTATCCAAACTCCTCGAACGACTCTGAAAAAGCATAGCTTAAATCTAAAGCAGGATCATATACCCCAAGTCTGACAAACGAATAATAAAAATGGACAGACGTGGAGCATTGTATGTGTTCCTGATGTGAAAAAAGTATTGAAAAAATGAAACAATTTATTTTTAAATGTGACGCTTTTCTAGCCATAGAGAAATTATGATGAATAACATTAAACACACCTTACTGAGTAATGATGAACTGAACACGTGAAAAGGCGTTTTACAGCTACTATTTTCTCTTTTGGGGTACACTAGCCATGGCTACAATGTTGAACTTTGTAGAAAAAACGACTTCCCATTGATAGAGTTGAACTAAGAAAATCACATATGTAATTTTGAAATACCAATGTTTTGTAATTATTTGTACTCTCAGACATGTGTTTTTTGCTCTTGATTGATTTATTCTTGTATGAGTTACTGTATGTGTTTAAAAAGACATGTTGAAGATGCTAGATAAAAACTTAAACCGAAAACAAACCGAACAGCATTATTACATATCACATATTATTATACATTAGTCACCGTAACGCCACAAGTTACAGCGTGCCGTAATTTTGGAGGGTATTTTCATCCAACCATATAAAGAAATGCGAATTTCAAATATGGAATTATTACGCGCGTAAGCGTTGCTAATAATAAAAACAAACATGGCTACCACCAGGGTTTGACTGTACTTCACACAAAAAAGTTCGCCCTAAACTTTTTGGATTTCGTCATTTCCAAGATGTGTGATAATAAGGTCATTACGAGAATAACGCAAAGTATACACTCAGAGAGTACGCCGTTGCTGTGCGTCGATAGATATTCCCGCTGTACTGTCTTCGGACATACTTTGAGGTATCCTCGTGATAATCTCATATTACTTGCTTAAGCGTGTTTATACAACACACATTAATCTATACATACAATATGAAAAAGGCACGGTTCAAAATACATCTACAAATCTACATCACCGTCTCTCACTTAAGTAATACTATTTTCTTGCTCGTTTCTATTGTTCTAGCCTTTTTGTTGAGCATTTATAAGAAACTCGACCCGTTTACTAGTTTCTTTGTTTCCAACAATACTCATTTAGTACTTTAACTATAAGATAAAATCACAATAATAAAAGGGGAGAGGTTGTCCTTGTGAATTATAATATTACTTGGATGACTCACACTCACGAGTAGGTAAAGACGTACATATACTATCTATTACTGAGCAGTTATATAAACACGCTTACAATCATTGGCAAAAAA